ACAACAACAAACAAGCAAGCAGAGTTCAGAGGGTCCTACTACCACCAAGAATGAAGAGTTGGGAGTGGAATACATTCTTTGGGCCTGGGGTCCCTACGCTGTCAAGCTCTTAGATGCAGGGAAAGAATGACGTCAAGACACAGAGAGATCACCACGGAATGCTGGGCCTGCCGGTGCTGAAAGGAGGCAAGAACCTTTCTCCAGGCTGGCACTCTGAATTCAAACTTCTAGCCTCTTAAACTGTGACAGAATCAATTTCTGTTTGTTAAAACCACCCTCCACCCCCACCACCCATGGTATTCCTGTTCTATAGCAGCCCTGGAGACCTAAGACGCCTCAATACCTGTGAATATGACCTTGTTTGGAAATGGGAGTTTTCGTTTGTTATGCTCCCGAGGTCAGGCTGGAGTACGGTGGGTCCTAAACCTCATGCTTTCTAAGTTATAAAAAGAGATACACAAGCCCACCCAGGAGCCTGAGGTCACCAGAAGCTGAAAGAGTTAAGAAGGGACCCTCCCCTAGAACCCACGTCCAGATTTGAATTGCTAACCTGAAAAACTGAGAGACAATGCATTTCTGTCCCTACAAGCTGCCCACTGTGAAATACTGATGACGTACAACACCAGGGTCTTCACCCTCAATGCTGCGTTACATTTTTGGACATGAAAACCTACTTCTTCATTGACTACTGCTGTCCCCTCAAACCTGTAATGAAACCTCAAATTCTGGCACCTGGTCTCAGAGTGACAGGTGTTAAGGTAGCAAGCAGATATGCATGACAGCTTTGGAGCAAGAGGGCCTACCCTTCCTGACTGTGTTCCCTGGACAAGTCCCACCAAACTCTCTGCACCTGTTTCCCTAAGAGTCCATTTGGGATTAATAGTGTCCCTGGAAGACCTGAACAAAACTATGAATGCCAAGAGACCAGTCTGGAGCCTGGCACGTGGAGGAGGGGGTAGCTGTGGGAACGACCCACTCTGCCGTCACATCCAGCACCCCAGTGGGAAAGCCGGTCCACTCTTAGGTATTGTTAGGACAGTGTACCCTAAAAACAGACCAGGTGTG